AAAAGGTAGATAACTGAGGGGGGGGGTAGCATATATGTATATGTTTTTTTGGTCTAGGATCGAAATTTCGAACTTTTTTGGGCCCGCTTGTTGAAGAAGGGGTGTTGAGGGTTCTGCAAGGGGGTTTACTGTCGGGGGTGAGGGCTGCGGTCGTAGGATTTGAAGGGTTTAGGGTTTAGGGGTTTAGGGTTTAGGGTTTAGGGTTGAGGGTTTAGGGTTTAGAGTTGATAAGTCGCACCCCGTCTTAATCATCGCTGTAGTAACCCCTGAAGGGTTCCTGTCGGGGATCCTTTAGAGAATGCAACGACATGCAACATGTAAGGTCGGTTCATTGCACTTTATAAAAGACGACCTGTCCTCATTATCAGAAGTAGCACGGAACGAACGACTGATAGGCTGGGCTCAGTAAAGCGAGTGCAATTTCATTGAATGATAGCTCCAAAAAGAGAGCACAGCTTAAAGACACGTAGTGATGCCAAACTTCAACAAGTGGGGTCCGGTCATGTTTGGTTCAGGGTTGAGAGTCTATTCTCTGCCGTGCGAGGGCTTGGGATGCATGAGGGTTGGGATGTAGGGAGTGTGGTTGAGGAGACAGTCTAGGATTCTGGGTTGAGTTTGGTTAAACCCAGTTGTGGGCATTGCGATTGTTCTCAAGCAGTGTTCAAGGGCGCCTACAGCGCAAGAGCTGTAATGTCTCTTCGGATGTCTTCCGGTAAGCGTTAAAATCTGCCAGAGCCTGCATCGCTTTCGGGTCCTGATGAGCATCACGCTGTAGAACTGATTACTAAGTTTTTTTTTCTTCCGCAGGGTTCCTTTTGTAAAAATACCGATTCCAGTGAATAAGACCCCTATACCAAAACTCTTATTGTAATCCCTATACTAACCCTTTGTAGAACCCCCTTTAAGGACCCTTGCCCTATCTATGAGGGCGCCTACAATAGAGGGTGTCTCGGCTTTCTAAAAACGACAACGAAGCTTGGCTGTGGCAACAAGAGATATCGATGCCTTCTAGGCCAGTTTCGGGTATAGGGCCGGGGATGGCTATGCCCCAGATCCTAGAGCCCAAAGCTCGAAACTTTAGATCCTAAACCCTAAACCCTAAACCCTAAACCCTAAACCCTAAACCCTAAACCCTAAACCCTAAACCCTTGGTTTGACCCGAACTGAGCCCTTGCTCATCTTTAGGCGTGGGCTTTGAACAAGCGTCTTGGCTGCTGCTAATTCCAACTTAGAGAGGTCGACATCGAGTCCCTAAGCCTCAACCAGATCTTCTTCCTCCGCATACATCAAACGTAATACATCGTAGTACTAGAAGTAATAACCGCAACTCAATACTTGAGAAGACGTACAACAATAGCAACTGTTAACTTAATAAAGAAAAATACTGGTGATAGTAGGAACAGTAGAAACAAAAGTCTTCACGGTCATCAGTATCATCATCACCTTGAATGTCACCATTGCCACTAGATTATCTTCATTTCGATGTCGGTTTGGATGTCCGTTTCCATGCTTATCCCGATCCTCATCCTCAGTGTCATTATCGCGAGGATCGCTGCGATCTTTAGTCAAAATCATTGTGGTCGTCGTTGTCGTCCTTATCGTCGTTGGTCGTCCTCGTCGCGTCGGCTGTCTTTGGCATCGTCGTCATAGCACGTGCGCGGTAGCTAAACCCTAAACCCTAAACCCCGCAGCGTTTCATTCTTGCCACCTAAACCCTAAACCCGAAACCCCGAAGCCCTCGTGTCCCGGTGCCCAATCCCAGAGCTCTCGAAAGCCACCTGCAACAATTACTATACTGTACTTTACTATACTATAGTATACGATCGTATGAATTAGTATAATATACTGTATTGAAGGTGCAGTGCCAGAACCGATACACTCTTCCTAGAACCCTTCAGCCGTAGAGTCATACATGTTGAGTATCCTAAAGCTCTTTTCCTTTCAATCCAATGTCTCAACAGTCTCCAGGCATCTCAACAGACACGGCAAGCCATGTTGAATCAGAGCCGTAAAAGCTTTCCTGCATGTACCCTAAAAGCTTGAACCGACAGCCGCGAGCCTGAAGTCCTCGAAGCCCAAACCCGTCAAGGCCGATATACACTGAAACCCAACGCCCTTCAATATGCAACGCATCTAGATCCCTTCACCAGAAAATGCGAAGCAGCCTCAACGTCTTACAAGCGCCTTTTTAAGCCCCTGAAGCTCTAAACAAGCCCAGTAAAGCCTTAAATCCTAAGATTCTTAGTGCCCGTACAAAGCCATCCGAAGTTCTGAAAAGAAGCTTCTTCATACCGTTGAAAACTGAATCCTAAACCCTAAAAGCTGAGCCCTCAACCCTAAACTCTAAACCCTAAATCCCTACTACAAACCCTTTAGAGGAAGCCTTGCTAGAATCTAAAAAGCCCTTCGCCTAGGCTACTGCACCGCTGTAACTCCGCTTCAGCCTGGGCTTTGGCTGCCGGCGGCTTGGAGGCTGTTACGGGCTCCCGGTTCCCTTCAGGGTTCCTTTAAGGGCTCCTTTAAGGGCTCCTTTTTAAGGGCTCCCTTAAGGGCTCCTTCAAGGTTTCTATTTCAGGGTTTCTTTAAGGTTGCAGTTTCCATAAGGTTTCTACTTAAGCGTTCCCAAAACGGGTTATATAGCTTATAAGAGGTCGGAATAGTAGCACTAGTATTCAGTATCCGTCTGTCTAGTTATGGGCCCCAGAAGCTTGTTCTGAGATTGGGGTTTTGGGGCTTAGGATGTAGGGCCCCAGGCTCATGCAACTGGCTGCTCGCGCCATCAGGAACCAAATCCCGTTCATGTAGGGGCTAGAATAGTCAGCAAGATTATTGGTTAGGGCATTTGATTTTAAGTATCGTATGAGAATAACCCAGAACTCTATTCTATCTCTTGAATCCCCTATACTGTGCCGAACATAAGAGCTAGTGTTCCGGCACTCACGCCGCAAAACCAGTGCAACCCTATAAGAGCCCGTAAAATCCTATAAGACCATATAACGCCAGCCCTCTGCTGCAGTTTTCCTTGCACGCCTTTGCTTGACGAGTTTTCAAGCCTTCCCTCCCTTTATCCAACCCTACCGGAGCCCGGAAAACAAACATTTTTGGGGGTTTCTTATTATGATAAGCACAATCTAAGTCCTTAAAACGATACCTCATTGTGGGTCAAAGTAGGGTACTACACCTTCCAGTCCTTCAAGGTTTAGGGCTAGGGTGTTTAGGGTTAAGGGTTCCAGGTGTAACGCGCTCCATACCCTCCATCTTAGTTCACTGCTAGCCACACTTTTGACGCTTTGCCAAGGAAGCTGTAACCAGGCACAAATGCTGCGAAGTCTTGCTCTGTTTGCTCGGTGGTTTGATGTTCAAGACAAAAGTCAAGAGGAGTCTCATACCTAGGAGCATACGGTCGAGACAAAGATAATGAGAGACACTCACAAGCCAAGGTCCAAATATTTAGACTTTGTGGCATCTGTGCTCAGGTCGTCTTCAGCTGTTGATGTTGCTCGGTTTGGCGGGCCTTGAGGTTGAGGATTTCAGGCTGTGGGGTGAAGGTTTTGTAAGGACTCTGTTCGGCGTGCAGGACCTCTTCAGTGGGTTATGAGTAGCTTTGTAATTAGTTTGCATCCAACTGCCGGAAAGGATACTTCTAATACCCTTTACACATTACTTGCTAGGTTCCCGATCTTTGCATCTTTGACTCAGACAAATCTAGGAACCCTAAACCCTAAACCCCTAAACCCTAAACCCTAAACCCTAAACCCTAAACCCTAAACCCTAAACCGTAATCTAGGAGACAGGAGAGCAGCAGAGTTCTTGGGCAGGCCGTGCAGCGGTGCCTGACCTTTCAAAATAGCGTCGAGGACTGCTGGCATGTGTGGAGGGCCACGGAAGCATTGCGGGTGTCGAAAGCTAAAGCTAAAGCCTCAAACTTAGCACTTAACGCTAAACTCTAAACCCTAAACCTAAACCCTAAACCGTAAACCCCAAACCCTAAACCCTTTACCCTGAACCCAAAGCCCCAAACCCGAAACGCGAAACTCTGAACCCGAAACCCCAAGCCCCGAGCCCTAAGCGGGGTCAGGGATGCCCCAGAAAAGCTTTGCTTTATCTCTTAAGATAGAGGCCTAAATAAGTACCAATACTATTGTGGGGTTCCTTACGCTATATATATATATATATATATGTATATAGTATAATATACCCCAGAAACCCTATTCTAATTATCAAAGCCCCTACATGAGCTTTCTCAGAACTCTGATCAGCAAGAGGAGCTCCAAATCCCACTGATAAGAATATGAGGAGTAAGCCATTCAATCCACAACAGACTTTACATCCCACTTAGCTAGGACCTCAAACCCTAAGCCCTAAACTCTAAAACCTGAACCCTAAACCCTAAACCCTGAGCTACCTAATTCTCTGAACCTAACCCCTCCATGTCCAATCCGAAGCCCTGTCGAAGCCCCCCCTCCCGGGGCTTCGTGGCCTCCCGGATTTCTGGGTTCGTCGGGAGGTTCCGGCATCTGGTGTGGGGTTTCAGGTTTGGGGTATTTTGGCGGTGCAGGGTTTCGGGGTTCCTAAACCCTAAACCCTAAACATTAGGGTTTAGGGTCCCTAAACTCTAAACCCTAAACCCTAAAGATTAGGGGTTTAGGGAATTAGAGTTAAGAAGTGAGGAGGTTGTAGGTCGGGGATGTTGAGGAGAGCTTGGGGGTTAATATGAGGGGCCTAAAGGATTACCGATACTATTGTGGGGGTTCCTTATGATAGTTACAGTATCATGGGCCCGAAAACCCTGTTCCTATTTTTTAAGGCCCCTACATTACTTGTCAGAGGGGTGTTCACAGGCTTACACTCTGAGTCAAGGTTCATGGTCAGATAGCTGCGCATAGCGGTACAGGTGCAAGAACGAACTGGGAGTCCAAGTCAACCCCAAACCGCCCAAACCCTAAACCCCAAACCCTTAAACCCTAAACCCGAAACTTTATAGCTATGGCAACCGTGCCCCTGGTTCTAGTTATAAGCACCCCATGAAGGATTCCAAACCCCTCTACAAGCACGCAAAGCGTTTAGCCTTCTCTTTTCGATGGTCTTAGGATTTTGAACTGAGTGCTTGATGCCAGCGATATGCAGCGACTCCGACAGTTCAACAACTTTCATGTAGATTTCGAAGTTGGAGGCTTTTGGTTCATGCAGCGATTGCGGGATTCCGACCCTCCCACCCGACCCGGAACCATACCAAAACCTGAACTGCTAGAGGGGTTTGAGCCAGCAGAGTTTAGCTACGTAGTGGTCAGAATGAGGCTTCCAACTTCATTAGTGTTTAAGGCATCGTAACAAGTTGGATCATTTGATGCTACCACGGCAACACCGACAAAACCATGTGTAATCTTTGAAAACACGTCATGTTATAGATATCAAGCGTCGATATGAACCCTAAACGGGAACTTCCTAAACGTGAACTTCAACCGCAAAGCCTAAACCCCACGCCGAAATTTGCAGACATTCAAGATGCCGGGTTTGCCAGGGAGTAATGGTCTACATGAACCGGACGCTTCCATGCATCTGTGAACCCCGGATTTAACGCTTAAGAGGTGTCGGGCTTACAGCAAAGGACTTTGGCCTTTCAGGAGATAGAGGGGTTTAGGGTGTAGGGTTTAGGGAGCCTCAAGGGATTGTTGGGGTGTAGGCAGTAGGCATAAGGCTTGCAAGTGATGCTCGCACGTGAACACGGGGCTCAAACATGCAAGGCGTAGTCTGCGAGTACCAGCTGCTGCTCTACTTGCATCCTTTGCTCCATGTCGGAAGCCAGTCTTGTGCAGGCTGATGTCATCACGAAGGTGCCTGAAGCAACGGCGACAGCATAACAGGTCAGTGACGTTGTTCTGGACTTCGGTGTGGATGTCATGCCGGCTAGCGCTACTTTGCTTCGGCTGGCTTCCCCTGTGTTCAACCGGATGCTTGAGAGCGGTATGAAGGAAGAACAACAAAGCATCATCAAGGTGGATGTTGCAAGCAGGGAGGACCTATGGCATGGAGCACCGATAAAGTGCATGAAGAAAATGTTGATACGCTTCTTGCAATCAGCGACTACTACCAGATGGAGATCATAAAAGAAACCTGCGAGGAGTTGCTGCTTGACCTTCCACCCAGTGCCACTCGCCTTCTGCAAGCACACAAGCACGGCCTCGAGAGGCAGTACAAAAGGTGCCTCACTGAGTTGGCCAAGCAAAGCACAAAGGAAGACCTGGAGGTGCTCCACCAATCCGGGCCGGACATGCTGCTGGAGGTGGCCCTGAAAAACAAGATCTATTGAATCCGATCATGGCGATGAAGCATGACATCTTGGACTGCCAGGCCTGCGTCCGCACGAATGTCACAGTTGGCAAAGGGTTGAAAGGAAAAGGAGCTTCTTTGCCAACCGAGGAGGATCGGGTGAATGCACTTGCGAGAGCCCGGGCGCCATTGACACGCGTGCTTCAAACTCTGCTTGCGGCAGTGAAGGGTAACAACAGTTGGAGATAGACTCTGGCTAATGGCACTACGTCTCCGAGGTGGATAAGTAGTGAGCCATTTGTGTAGATAAAGGCTGCAGATCCTAAACGCCCTAAGCCGTAAGGATTATTGCCACCAGGAGACTATCGAATTGTTCTGAGGCCCTCGTCATGATCCAGAAGTGCGCCAGAAGTGCGCCGCCTGGACATAGGATATGAAGAGTCGCGGGCAGTGGCATGAAGAAACTCCGATTTGTGATGCTGGCTATCGCGATTATTGTTTCGAGTTCCTCATGATTAATGTGGTATAGCATGCGCTGAAACCGCATTGCACTCACAGGCCCCTACACAGAAGCCCTCATAGCACTACAAGCCTTATAGAAATCCATTTGAAGGAACCCTACAGGGACCCTGTTCTCTTACTAAGGCCCATATAAGACAGGACCTAGGCCTTAAACCCTAAACCTTAAACCCCAGACCCCAAACCTAAACCCTAAACCCTAAACCCTAAACCCTAAACCACTTATTCTGGCCCCCAAAAGACAGGACCTGCAGTGCTACGCTTGGCTCGCCCGGTCCATCGGCGGCTGCAGGGGACTCCTCGGATTTCTAGAGCAGGCCCTGTCCGGTTCTTGGCTTTCAGGGTTTCGGGTTTAGGGTTCAGGGTTCAGGGTGTAAGTTTTAGTATTTAGGGTTCAGGGTTTAAGGTTTCGGGTTGAGGGTTTAGGGTTCAGGGTTTAAGGTTTAGGGTCTAGGGCTTAGTGAGGGTTTAGGGTTTCAGGGGGTTCAGGCTTTCACAGTTCAGCGCCGAATAACGCGTATCTTACTTAGAGGCCCAGGGGACATAGTAAGTAAGTTTTAAGTAGAGTTATAAGTACCCTAAATGGAGTTACTCCAATTCTAACCTTACTTATAATTTATAACCGACTTACTAAGTCCCCTAGGCCTCCAATATTTGTATTTACATATGTATGTATGTATGCATGCATGCATGCATGTATGTATATATGTTTTCAATATGCATACACATTCACACGTTCATGCATACATACATACATGCATGCATGCATGCATGCATGCATACATACACGGAATGACATGCAGTCTTGCATGCTTGATTCTGTGTTGTCGGAAATGCTAACGCACCTGTTGATCTGCATATCGCTTACGGAGGTTCAGGTGCTTCAAATTCAGCATGTCTCCGGCCAGATTTGGGCCTTGTTCTTACCTGTAGCTTTGAGCGAGGTGCCATTTCTGTGGCTAGACACCCAAAGCCCCTAAGCCCTAAACCCTATACCCTAAATGATATTCTGTGTCGGCCCGAGCTTCGGGCACGCTTCGTTGTTGCTGTTAGGGCCGCTAGGGAGGTTCAAGCACATATTTCCCATTTCTTTAAGCTGCTTACACGTTTTGGTTGCGACTGAATAAGTGCTTCCTACGTATCACGTTCTTGCTATTTCCATGATGATTGTTCTTATTCTTGTGTTTTACTGTCGAAGTATCACTACTATCATGTTGTTAATGAGTCTTACAGTTTTGGAGTCAAGGAGTTTTTTGGTATCATTATTCTTGTCATCGTTATAACGGTTCTGTTTTCTGAATCTAGCATGATGCTTCCGATCCTAAGTGTTGTTGATGTCATGGTTGCACTAGTTACTCCTTCTTCACTTCCATAATATCACCTGGGCTGTGGGAGCTTACTGTAGGGGCTGAAGCTGTCTCGGGTTGGGGGTTCTGGGATTTCAGTCGTAGTGGCTTTAGTGCGGTTTTAGATTCTTGACCATAGCGTTCTGACTTTGCTCCAGGAAGACATGCCTAATGGCTAGCAAGGTCACGCGAGAAGCCGTACAGGTTGCATAGACTGCATAGAAGTACATGCAAGAAATGTGGCGGTGGTGTCTTAGCCCTAAGCCGTGAAACCTCGTGATCATTTGGGTTGATGTCACGGTGATGGTATCAGCAGAGCAGCTAAGGCACCCGAAACCCTAAGCCCCGCAACGTCGGGTCAAACAGAAAATTCTTCGACGGAGCCGAATTGTTCGACCCTTTGCCCCAACATAGCCCAACATACACCCAAAGCCCAAACCTCAAAGCGAGAAACCCTTAACCCTAAACAGCCAGAAGTTCAGCCTTCCATTGGAGCAGACATGTTTGTGGAGCTCACAGGCGCCCAAGTTTTTCGTGGCACGCCTTGTCGCCCGGCTTCTGATTCTGTGGGGTTCTGTGGGGTTCCTTGCTCTGTAAGTATGCAAAGAAAGGTTGTACAAGGGTTCTTTAGGGGTTTTTATCAGCGTCGTGATTTAGAGTTTAGGGTTAAACCACATATTTCTCAAGATGTGATGGAGGTTCTTGATGCGACAGCGTCAAGAACTCGAGATATTGGAGAATCTGTGTCTGTGTCGGGGGATCTGTGAGGGGTCCTTCTAGGAGTTGGGCGGGGTTTCTGCTTCCAAACCTTGAAGTCGATGCTTAGTCGGTATGGTTAGCTACTGCCTCCACTCAGTCACAGTTGAATAATGATGTAGAATAAAGACATGTAAAGTCGCCAGGTGTACACTGATTAGAGACACTTCCCTAAACCCTAAACCCTAAACCCCCTAAACCCGAGACCCCTAAACCCTAGACTTACTGTATGGGGTCCGTGCAGAGGGAGATGGGCTGCGAGGAATATCCCCTCGCATCGTAGGGTACCTTTTTCCACGGGGATGAAGGGTGGTTTTTCTTGGCCCTGACACAAAGCCTGCGAATAGAGGAGCCTCAATAAGTACCACTACTATGTTGGGGGCTCCTTATTACTCCTTGTTTTAGCTATAGTATGATGTACCCCAAAACCCTATCCTCATTATTACGGCCCCTACAGGACGGCCTAGAGTTGAGGGTCCAGGGCTTGGGGTTCAAACCTAGACCTTCGGAAGATGAGGCAGTTGCTCCAGTTGGGTTCAAACCTCGTGGTCTCCATGACACGAGTCCCTGTGGGTTTAGGGTTTAGGGTTTTGCCCTTAACCCCATAACGGATCAGACCAACTGTGCCTAAGACCGCAAGCGACACGAGTGTGGGGTGCAGCTGTGGTAAGAGTTACGCTTAGCTGTTAATGCAGCACTTAGACCAAGACTTTGGAAACCGTACACCCATAAGCCACCCTATTCGGAATAAAAGAGTTAAGCCGAACTGTTACTTGTAAGCCACCATGTTCTGGCATAAGATAGGGGCCAAAGACATTACCAATACTGTTGTGGGGTTCCTTATCATAGTTACAGTATCTATAGCCACCAAAACCCTATTCTAATTATAAAGGCCCCAATATAAAGCCTTTACAGTACCCCTTATAGAACCATTTCAAGGAACGCTGTAAGTGAACATTATTCTAATTATTAAGACCCCTATATTATCCAATCTCTTGAGCTGCCCTGACCCCTAAGCCCCAGCGCCGGACCCCCCAAGGGTTCAGGGGATTTAGGGTTTAGGGTTCAGGGTTTAGAGGATGTTTTTTTTTTGGGTTTTGGGTTCAGGGTATGTAGGGTTTAGGGTATTCAGATTCAGGGTTTAACAAATCTTGAACTAAACCCAAAACTTTAGACCCTAAACCCTAAACCCTCGCCCCCGAGATTTGGGTGCTCCATGACGAGCGCTGTTGGCGAGACCAGCATGGCGAAGAAGTGCCAGAGGCTGGAACTGTTTAGGGTTTAGGGTTTAGGGTTTAGGGTTAAAACCAACCCTCAGTTCTACTTGGAGGCCCAGGAGACTTAGTAAGTCGGCTATAAGTGCGGGTATGATCCGTGTATCTCCAGTTTAGGCTACTTCTGTCTCTACTTATAACCTGCTTACTAAGTCTCCTGGGCCTCTAAGTATTGCTGCTGCAAACCCTAACATAGAAGCCTAAATAATTACCAATATTATTCTTAGGGTCCCTTATTATGATGATACTATAAAGGAGCCTATTAAGGTCCCTATATTAGCCACACCACTGTTGGGAAGCGCGGGCTGTGTGCATGAAATTCCCGGCGTGCAGTACAGGGTGGGCAAACATTCAAACCATCCGGTGAAATCAACCATCCTTCATGCAAGTGATGTAGGGGCCTAAATAATTACCTATCATATGTTAGGGGTTCCTTGTTTGAAATATAGCATAATGGGCCCCCAAAACCCTACACCAAAAAACTAAGGCCCCTTCCTTAACTTTAACCCCAAAGCCTCAACCCTGAACCCTGCTCTTCTTCTACAAATGTAGAACCCGTAAACCCTAAGCCGCAGACCCCTAAGTCCCTCGACCCAAAATCCGAAACCCTAGCCTAAACCCTAAACCCCTAAGCCCCAAAACCCCAAAACCCGTAAACCCCTGAACCCCTAAACCCCTAAACCCCTGAACCCTAAACCCTACGCTGGAGAACCGAAGCAGTCGTCGGCTGGTGAGGCGCCCGAGCTTCTGAAAGTCGCCGCGCAGCATCTCCTTGCTGCATGCAAATCGGGCGACGAGGCCGAGGGAGAAGCGGTCTTGTGAGGTTTTGCAGCTGTTGTATAACATGATACCATATTATAACATATGATATATCCGGTTATATCATTTTCATTATCATGTCATATCATATCACTTCATATCATGCTATATCATGTTATGAGTTCAAAAGGACAAGCCCTGAACACCGGATTCAGTAGACCTTAAACCCTGCAGGACGTCATCCACGCCGGCGTGGCCTTGCTGGAGGACATGACCTCGCACCAGCACAATATCGCCTTCCGCCTTCTGGGACGCTCGTCCACCGAGGTTTCAGGGGTAGGGTCTACGGTTTAGGGGTTTAGGGGTTTAGGGGTTCAGGGGTTCAGGGGTTCAGGGGTTCAGGGGTTCAGGGGTTCAGGGGTTCAGGGGTGTAGGGGTGTAGGGGTTAGGGTTTGGGGGTTTAGGGGTTTGGGTTTGGGGGTTTTGGGGTTAGGGGGTTTGGGGGTTAGGGCTTTAGGGCTTAGGGTTTAGGGATTTAGGGATTGGGGGTTACAGCCCTGAAGCGCTAATTACAGCCCTGAAGCCCTACGCTTTCCAACGATTTCAGCTGCCCGTGGCAATCTTCGGACTTCGGGTTGCGGGTTTAGGATTTGGGGTTGAGGGCTGAGGGTTGAAAGTCTCGGGTGGGAGAGTTTAAGGTTTGAGGTTCAGAGTTTCGGGTTGAGTTTGAGGCTCAGGGGTTTAGGGTTTAGGGTTCAGGGTTCAGGGTTTAGGGTTTTAGGGTTCAGGGTTTAGGGTTTACAGTTCAGGGTTTAGGGTTTAGGGTTCAGGGTTTAGGGTTTAGGGTTCAGGGTCTATAGATTTCTTGGGCAGGGCCTTGATCCCAAGACCAAGTGCCCAGGAGACGGCGGTGGCCAGATCTTCACGCAAATTCTCCAGGCAGGCGTTGGTCCACCGAAGCGTTCAACAAAGACGCCAAAAGCCCTAAACCCTAAACCCACAAGCCTATCCGTGGAAACCTTCTATTTATTTGGGCCTGTATGGGGCTTTTAGAACCCCTGCACCCTTACATAACTATGTAGAGCCCTAACCCAACTCACACGTTCCAGTAGACAGTCCCTCTTGCAATCGTAGGATTTGGGATTCTGTGACATTCTCTAAACTCGGAGAGAGAGAGAGAGAGACTCGACACGTGTTCTGGAATTTGTAGTAGATTCCCATCCTCAGCCGTTTATGCAACCTCTAGACATCAAACCCCCGAAGCCTCAGAACTCCAAGACCCCACCCTAAATGCCCTGCCATGTCAAACCCCCTGAACCCCAAAACCCCGAAATCCCTAAACCTCCAAACCGCAAACCCCTAAACCCCTAAACCCCTAAACCCGAAATACGCAGCCCAAAGCCCCCAAACCCCCAAACCCCAAAGCCCCAAAGCCCCAAACCCAAAAACCCACAACCCAAAAGCCCACAACCCAAAAAGCCCTAAACCCAAAACTCTAAACCCAAAACCCTAAACCCCAAAACCCCCAAAAACCAAAACCCGCAAAAACCCAAAACCCCCCAAAACCTCAAAAGCCCCCCCAAAAATCCACTAAACACGTAACCCAAACCCGAAAGCCAAAGGCCCTTCCTTGTGAGGTCTTCCTCCGGGGGCAGTCGGAGAGAGCGCGGGCCGGGGACCACGCTCTCAAGCCTAGGGCCTTCGGGTTTAGGGTGCAGGGTTTTAGGGT